GGCCTCGGGCCCGCCACCCCCTCCTCCCTCCTCCCTCCTCCCGCACCGTCTCTCATCCATCACCGGGCAAATCAAATGCAGCGCCAGCCTCTGCTGCTGTGTAAAGACGCAGGCCGATGTTAACGGCAGGATCTGTGATTTTTGATTTTATTTTATGCGCAATCAAATCCGCCTCCGAGAGAAGAGGCTCTTAAGAGGGGCGATGACACGACACATTTTAGTGACACTGCAGGTATTGAGCCAGCTGCTGCGCTGTGGGGATCACACTGTGGCTGCAGCAGGCACAGCTGAGGAGAGAGCAAATGAGGAGGAAACACGGGTCCTAATAATCCTATTAAATTATATGGATACTTTAATAAGAAATACAAATATCAAAATTAGGGGCTGATTATAAATTACATCTAAAAACCAAAACCGGCACTGCTATAACGACCTACTGAATATATACATATATTTTAATTTGTCTGATTGGATTTTGATTGGATATAGATCTATTAATTCACAATAAAATAACAAATCAAATTCCACAATAAGGAAATACTCACAGGCGCGTATAAAGACAAATAATGTTTAACAATCAATCAACTGTACCTGTACGTTTATAGACTGCTGCTCATCATTAAGATAACGAAGGCCATATATAATGAACGATATAATATAATGAGCATTTTAAAAGAAAATGTGGGTGTTTATAAAGCATTCATGTGATTTCATTCGTTAAAAAAAGGACACAGCATTAGGCCTGTTTTTGTGAAATCAGTCTGACTTCGGATCAGTGATACTTTAATGAACTCGCAATAAAAAAAATAATTTAAAACAAAAACAATAATTGTTTAATCTCAGTATCGGCAAGTAGTTTTTTTTTTTACACAGCTGGACACAGAGGAGGACACAGAGGAGGACACAGAGGAGGACACTATCCAGAGCTGAGGATCAATAGCTGCCTCAGTCTGAAGCAGGAAAACGGCTTTCGGCACACGGGTCGTGTTCTTCTTCTTTGAGCTTCCATGATGGATGGACCTGGCAGGCTCTCTCTCTGACTGACAGCTTCACTTGGTTTTCAGACCACCACCGCGTGTCTCAGGACAGATACCGCACTGGGGGCCTCCCGCGTGGCTTTTCTTTAAGCCGTGTCCCATCCTTCACTCATCCCTTATCCCCTGTCTCAGTCCATACACCTCTCCATCTCTCCATCAAGACCGTCCAGCCATCCATCATGGAGGCCAGTCTTCACAGCCACCAGCAGCCTCACACACATAAGTCACCCTACTGCTGCTGTATGTTCCGATCTGCATGCAGCTCCGCAGACCTCCAGTCGGCGTCTTCACAAACAATTACAGTAAGACGGGAGCAGAGGGGGGCAAATGTTGGGAATTCAATTAGGATTTCTCTACAGATCGTGCCCCCTTCGTGTTTGAAATAATCTGGTGCAGACAGGACAATTAATGGGGTCTGGAGAGAAGGCCCATGCAGTGCACTTTTCCCTTGGAAGAGTATTTACATAAATGTTTAGGCTGAGCTTTACACCCTGGCAATACTAGTTATTTAGTTATAGTTATTTATTACACACCAGGGTCATTAAACATGGCGGGTTGACGTTTGGACATGAGGCCTACATTCATTAATCAAGTGAAACATGAAGACAAAACACAGAGAAACGCGATTATATGGAGTTTTAATATAATAACACAATGTGTGTGTGTCCGTGCATTATTCCCATAACAAAGTGTGGTTAATGATTTTAATGGCTCAATTCATTCCATTTCTATTTTATTTATTATAACCTAATCTTTTAACATAATAAAAGCTTTTAAATCAAACAGTGAAAAGCTGAATTGATCCTTTAATATCATCTCAATCATAACTGCGATTAGAAAACGGACAGCACATGTTAAGTGCGTCCTTCCCCTATAACCCAGTCCTCTATGGGCCTATAATCCCTATAGTCGGGGCTCCTCTCTCAGGGGCCCTCAGGAGCCTCTAGGGGACCATTGTGTCCCCCTCTGTTGACTCAGACGTCATGAATGCCAAAGATCCCCGTTACTGTTTCCGTCAAATCGCCCCATGAATGTAAAAGTCCAAAGTTAAAGCCTCCGCAGAGGAGA